AATTACTCTCAAATTGTCTACAAATGTTTACACAAATGTATCTGTATCTGTGCAGCTTGCTATTTGGCATTATCCAATCAATACCAAAGGTAAACAAGCTGCTTAATTTATTAACGATTGCTTCAATTCGTAACGTTAAGTGCAGTCTCTTTTGCTCTCATTGTTCCGGCAAATAATTTAAGAAATGATCAGTAAATGTTGCGTAAATAAATGCGGGGGTGGCTATTGATTCAGATTCGACTAATCCGTCGAATAAGTATTCCGCTTCCTAAAGACTAATGGCTGGAAAAGCTGTCGCATAGAATGGGGGCAACTTATATGCGTATATAAATAAATTACTGTATACTTCCTAATCATATTTGAATATTTAGCATACGGATTTGGACAATAGCTTAAATGAATATATCCATTAATATCAAACGCGTTAAATAAATGAACTTGCAGACTTATACAAGTATGTGAGGGCCGATATTTCAGCTTTGACTAATTCGACGAATAAGTCCACTTTAAGCATAGATTAAGAACTGGAAATACTTTTTCTTCGGGAAAAACTTTAACAACCAAATCATATATAAATATTGAGCACAGGATTTAAGCAAGAGCTTAAATGATTACCAGCCCTAAAATCAATTATTCCATACGTAACGTTACGCACTGACTGGCTTAAGTTAAAAATAGATTTCTAATTAAGAATCGGCATACGAGGACCTACGCTTATTCAGGTATATGTAAGATAATATCTGTAACTGAAGCGATTGTGTAACACGACAAATGTTCCTTTAATTATTTACTCTGACATTGCAAGAAAGCCAATTCAATCGTCACAAAGTTAATTGACTTTGTACGTTTAAAAGCACAGAAAAAAATCTTTAAATAACTTTTCTAAGCATTTTTATATATCTCTAAGTACGAGTGTATCAATCAGAAATGCTACTGGAAGTTTTCTCTCTGCGATTGTTTCTTATTTCTAAGCATCTCTGAAATCTGCTTAATTGATTTGTTAAGCAAAATTGGTTGCACCTGCAACACAGTAATACGAGTATTTACAAAAATGATTGTTTCAAGAGGAAGGTAACTTAATAGCAATAATTATTCACAACGAGTGTGCCAGCTGTTCGGAGTTCTTTTTTAAAACCCCCTTTCAGAAATAATACTGGATTATTATATTGCTTTTCGAAGTGCTTGTTTTCCTCTGCGATCGCTTCTTATTTCTAAGCATCTCTGGAATCTGCTGAGTTGAGTCGTGAGGCAAAATTTGTTGCATTCCGTTGAACTTTGAAAGTTCGAAAAGTTGCGAAACATTTTGCTGGCAACAAATGTTGAGCAGCAGCAGCAGCAGGGCGCCTGCGCCAGCCTCTGCAGCATGTTGCGAAAAAGAAAGTTGGCTGTTATTTTGATTTGTGCCGCTCTGTTTGTTTATATTTTGCTTTTACTCGCTTGACAGGTGGTTTTATGTGCGCGCATTTGAATTGTATCTGTGTGTGTGTGTGTGTTGAATCTTTTGGGTGCTTTTTGTGTGTGTGTGTTTGTGCGGATATTTATGCATGGCAATTGCTCAATGTCGGCGTCTGCATTGTCGTCTAAGTCTGAAGTGACAGGGCCGCTGCCTTTGGTGCTGCTGCGAAAGTTCATGGCTGTTGCTGTTATTGTTTTGGTGCCACACGCCGCACCACACCGCACCGCACCGCACCACACCACACCACTCTGCACCACTCCGCACGATGCCACGTCATGGCAGAGCAGGAGCCAGTGTGCCGCAACGCATTTGTCACTCTTGCTTGGCAGTTATGTGAATGTTGCCGCAAAACATGTCGCTGGCAGGCAGTTCTTGTTGTTATTGTTGTTATGCTAAGACCCTAGCCGGCTCCCATGAGCCACTTCCCTTGCTCATAATTGTTTTCATTGGCAGCGTTGAGTGCCAGGCTGGCCGACGAGAATCAAGCAGAATATTTAATTCGTGCCGTAAAACATTCCAAAAAAAGCTGAAAAAATGGGGGCGAAAAAAAAATAGGGAACTGGCAGCACAAATATCAACAGCTTTTCTGTCCAATGAGTGCAACTGATACAGGTAGCAGATAACGGGCACAGCGCCCGTAGCTATGCTATGATTTTTTTGCACTGCGCCTTTTGCCGCACAACCATGCCACTTTGCCTTGGCCGCATGCCAGACAGGCCTATGTTCAGGCTCAGGCTCGGGCCAAATCCGGTCTGGGTGTCCGGCCATTATGTCGTTCCTGCGCCTATGGCTATGCAGCATAAAACGCGCGGTGTCGAGTGCAGTCTTTAATCGCTCGAAGGCAACACAAACGTTGCTATAACACCTACATACATACGTGCCTGAACGCAAATTTATTCGCTGTTTGTTCTTTTGTAAAATCAACAATTTTGTCAAAAAAAAAAGAATGGTTACGCGCTCTTAAAGCTGCAATATTTTAACACAGTAATACGAGTATTCAGTGAAATAATTGCTTCTAGTGGAAGGGAACCTGATAGCAATAATAATTTAAAACGTACATATAGTATATGCCAACCAAGCGCTTTATTCCCTCCAACTTCTTTGTAATGCATCGCATTAAAGCTTTTTCTGAGATGTCTATCAAAGATTTGGTACTGAAGTAAATTGTTTTTGTTTTAAACCTTGAGCATTGCATCGTTATGAGTCATATTTTATACGTATTCAATACTTTATAGCTAAAGAAGCAGATCTGCTCTCTCTTGAAAATTGAATTGTTAATAATAATTAAATAGATGTATTTCTTAGTCAAAAGCATATTTTAATCAATTCAACCTTTAAAAATCTTTAGAAATCTTGACCCGTTGCCTTCTTTCATTGTATTTATTTCCGAAGCTTCCCTGAATTAATTTCTTTAGGAAATGTGGCATTAACAAAAAAAATGCAATCCAATCTCGACAAATGAATATTACTAATTTCTTTCATAACCATTTCTTATTATTAAGAAAATTGTATAAAATAGCAAAGGAATTCTATTTGTGCTCCAGAGTTTTTGGTATTTAGGACATTGATTGAACACTAAATCTGAATATGATGGAGTTAATACTGTTGTTTATATCGAAATAGCTCCAATGCTATAGTTGAAGTTTTCAAATTATGTTTCAAATATAAGATCGGACTATAAATTGAAAACAAATATATAGTATTTCAAAACGCAGACAGCTCCTCGGATTGGTAGGTGTTTAACAGTCCTCTACATACTTGAACAAACATGATATATGCTTAAAGTCGAAACGGCGAATGACTAGACGTACTATGTTCATGACTGCTTGCGTCATAGTGTAACTCAAAAGGCTCAAATCTGCTCCATCTCCCTCACACCAAAAACATAATTGCGCACAAAGCCAATTGCTTCTGCTCGCAGCTCAGACTCCGCTGCTTTCATACTAGTGATGGGTCTAAATTTTTCACGTGACACGACACAGAATGAAACAACTCTGAAACTCGTATATAACATCTGGAATATATTTGTCTGTCTGTATGAACAGCGACAACTTTTAAACTATAACAGCTGGAGACACCAAAACTGATATGTGGACTGGTTCTTTCTACATGCACATCGAGTTTAATGCAAACCATATATAGTCTCATTATATTATATATCAGATGAATAAGGCACTCCTGATAACTTTTTTAGCTAATTGCGATCCCGTAGTTAAAATTCGGTGTAAGTTTTTAATAAAATATCAAGATTTTATTTTTATTTTTATTTTATAGCAATGATCGATTCCAGAATCATTTGTGTTCATGAAAGTATTGTTGTCCATAAAATGAACTTAAAATGCAGTCCTCCACAGGGCTTGTTTGTTTGCTTGTTTTTAAAAATCAATTTCCCTTTTCCCTTTACTACTTTGTGAAGCTAAATGTCGGAATATCGCTTCTCTAGGCTGCATTTCTTGTTGGAAGCAACAAATGCTTGCCCCTTTACTATAGCCTTAAAAGTAGATTTCATCCAACTGGCAACTTTAGTCGCAGCCGGTTAAAAATGGCTTATGAGTGCGTCTTTGGCGCGCACGTCGACTGCGACTGCGACTGAGACTGACAGCGCTGCGCACTTGTAGTAACAAAGCGGATACTCATTTAAGTTTATTCACCAGTGCGGTCGGCCCACAAGTGGAGCTGCGTCGTCAACGAAGGCAACGAACGTCAGCCAATGACACTTTATGACAATTGCACTTGGCGGCTTATGAACCATGGCGGACCGAGGAGGTTGCTCTAAAAACAAGAAAACAGAAAAATAGAAAACAAAAACAAAAACAATACGCGAGCAAATGGAAACAAGAACAAGAATGAGAACAAAGCAGCCAGCCAGCCAGCCAGCCAGCCCGAGTCAGAGCCAACAAACAAGTGAAAATCGTTCAGGGAAAACTGCTGCTGCTGTTGCCGCACAACTTCATCTCAAAGGAAATCCGCGTCGGGCGCATGTTGGGGCACAAATCGTAAACAAAATGCCGGAAAAGGGACGAGCATAGACGACGGCAGCGGCCACGTGCTCCACATGATATGTCGCCACTGTTACTCTGCTTCTTCTTGCTGCTGCTGCTTCTGCTGTTGTTGTTGTTGTTGTCCCTATCCCTGCTATCCTTGGTGACGCGTCGCCGTGATAATGACTTTTTGTCTCTGCTCAAATGTCACTTGATGTTTGTCGTCGTCGTCGTCGTCATCATCCAGCAACCACTCGCCGTCTTTGTTCTGGCAGTTTCGTTTTTATATCTCGACCGTCAGCTGCCCCTCCAGCCCCTTCTCTCACCCAAGTCGAGGTCATGCAAGTTCAAAACGCAACAATGTTGAATGCTTTCCGCACCACCTATAACTATAAATGTGCGTTTAACGTCGCCTCCTGATTAATTAGCCATGAAAGTACTGAGGTATTTTATTTTATTATTATTGATGCCACCTCATGGAGGCCTTGCCAGAGCTGTCATCGACTGTCAGGGTGTGTGGGCGAGATGGGGGAATAAAATTTTAGTAATCGAACACACATACACAGGGCAACAACCAACAATTTCTCCCCATTTCCATTTTGAAAAAACCAACACACATATTTTTCGGCAAAATATTTTCGAATTTCTATTTCGGTTTGCCGCTCGCGTTCACTTTCAGATCCAAGACTGAAGGCCTGAACGGTGTGGTCCCCCATACAAAATTCAATTAGACGCAAGAGGAGCGTGATTTTTTGCTTCAGCAATTGGCATACACATGCTGCATGTAAGTGGCACTCTCTCTCTCTCTCCCTCTCTCTCTCCCTCTCTCTGTCTCTCTTTGGGAGGCCTGGGGCATCCTGGAAATGTCTAATTCGTCTATTTCGTAGCTCTCCCACCACTCGGCACCCGATGCTGCGGGCCTGCTGCTGGCAAATCTCTACATCCAACACTTGCTTGGCAATGCCTGAGGGACTCGGCTGTGGTTGCTGAACCGCCGGACACTATGCCTGACACGAGGTACCATTTGCGGGCGCTGCCACAACAGCGTCGTCTGGTGCCGAACCTGCTTCGCACCATACTCAAGCTACTGGAGGATGCGCGCCGGCCGATGCGGGACTCGGAGATAATATCGGCATTATCGGTGCGTTTCCGGCGCACCGATCCGGACTTTCAGCGACAGGTGCGCATGAATCTCCGCGACGCTGTCTCTTATGGCATTCTGAAGCGACAGGCGGACATGTTTATGTTGCGCTCCAAGCGCCTCAACGAGATAATGGCCTCGCTGGTCCCCAACAAGCGGTAAACGGCGGGGGAGGGGAATGCAACTCGACAGCAGACCGAGCTCGATAATTCATTATTCATTTCATTTACAAAAAAAAGCAAAACACACACATTTTAAAACAAGTATGCACACTAAATACGTCCACTGAGAATTGAATCCCCAACAATTTCCAAATATACAAAATTGCTTAGGTTGCCCAAAAAAAAAAAAAAAGAAAAAGTGTCCTGCCTGGTTTGTGTTTTTCAAATGAATAGGTAGAGAATTCTGAGCGAGTAATGGACTTGGGGAAAGGCCAGAATTCAAGCCTCGTCCTATGAGCCTTTTCCTCGTCTCATTCATGTACTACGTTGCAGGAATAACATAAACAAAAACGCTTAAAAAAGGATTTCGCTGAGCTCCACTCTTGCATCTTTTTTAAATCAGAATTTTTTAAAGTTTTGACTTTTCATCGCATTAAGCCTCATGTGGTTTCATAGATAATGCATAGTAATTTTGTATTGAAACGCATTGCTAGTGTGCTCTTTCAAACGGGGTCTATGATGTCCTGTGTGTTGTGTGATGTGTTCCTTCGAGCCCTTCGAAATTCAAGTGTCTTCTTTCTACAGTTTAACATACGCTTCATTTCTTTTCCACCTGGAAGAACGTAGAATATGTCAAATGAAATTGTTCCTCAACAAACTGAACCCTCCATCAACCCATCAACAAGTTTTATTCAAACTATTTGTTATAAATTATTAGACCTTAAATCGAATGCACCTTCATTGAATTGCATATATACTCAAATATTCAATATCCCTCTTTAAGATAACATCTCTACAATTCTTCTGTCAATAACTGTTGATGGCCGGGGCATATCAACCTAATTGAATTGTAGAGCTGCTTCGTTGCTACAACTAATTAAATCACGTAAATGACAGCTTTGAGGCATTATAGAAATATACATAAATGTGAATAAAATGTTTAGTAATCAGACAGTCGTCACTATAAATAAGCGTATAAGTAGGATTGAAACAGCAGCACACGATTAATGGAAGCATAGCATTGGATTTATGCCTCACAGATTGTTCGATGCACAGGCAGAGGCAGAGGCAGTGGCAGCCTAAAAATGTCACTGCAGCAACGCCTCGCAGTATGTTACAAATAAATTATGCACAACAAAAATGCACGCCCATAGATAAAATGGCGCTCGGAAAATAAACTGTAAAATCTGAAATCGTCCATGGCTCGGCCTGGGCAGACGTGCACACCAAATTGCCAAATTCAATTGAAATGCATAATTTATGCGGCGATGGATGCAACAAATATTATATATTGTGCAAACATACTAACACACACACACAGGTGTCTGCGTCAGCACAGGCGACACAGAAGCAAGCAATCGATATTGACGCATTCACATCTAGTCTATAAAATCCACAATACATTTGTCAGCAAGTTGCAGCTTCAAACACTCTCTGGTCTAGAAGAAGCTATGAATAAAAAAAAAAGTCCACAAATAATGGCTGTTACAAAAATTAAGTATGTGATCTTGAGTATCGTATGATGATTCCAAAATATCCTTTATTAGATAAAGTATTATTAAATTCGTATTATATTAAAGCCGGAAATATATCTAAGACGCACTCTGCTTCAACGACCGACTTCTGACTGCTGTCTTCTTCTTCGAACGACAGCTGAGTAATTTCCGACTGACTACTTTTAAAAAAGTGCGTACCGAGTACTGACAACTGGGTGTTGTTCCCATCGTGCTGTCCTTTCTTCTCAGACCGCTTTCTTCTTCTTCGAAGGACAGCTGAGTAATTTCCGACTGACTACTTTTAAAAAAGTGCGTACCGAGTACTGACAACTGGGTGTTGTTCCCATCGTGCTGTCCTTTCTTCTCAGACTGCTTTCTTCTTCTTCGAAGGACAGCTGAGTTATTTCCGACTGACTACTTTTAAAAAAGTGCGTACCGAGTACGGACAACGATGCTGCTTCTGGGTGTTGCTCCTATCGTGCTGCCCTTTCTTCCCAGGCATAGCATGTACTTATTTGTTTGCCCAATTGTTTATTTATTTGTATTAAGATTCAAGACTTGGATTTAATTAGTTATATTTTATAAAAGTAAAAAATCAAAGGAATAATTTTGGTAACTTACCTTTCTGTAGAATTACATGACTGGAGAACGATTACTGCTCAACATCATTATCATGGCGATAATGGGAACAAAATTTGAAGTGCCTAGAAATAGAATGAAATGGAATTATTATCCAGTCTGCTCCGAAAATGGCAAAGAAATTGTATTGTGTTTTTCTAATATTGGTTGAGTGCAAGAACTCGTTTGCGAACTCTTTGTCGGGTGGATGGGTTTAGCGCGCATGTGGGATTCTGCAATTGCGTTTTTGGGTTTTGTCACGTCACAAATGCGCGCGAATGCGTTTGCGGTAAATATTTGTGGTTATCTAAATGAAATGCATTGCATAGTTTTCAGCATTCACACACACACGACACACGACACACACACACACATGAACTACATTGGCCATAAATTTGTGGGCCGCTCATAGTGTGGATTTTTCGCATCGGCTATTTGCATTGGGCCGCGAAATATGCAATTAAAGCATAAATTAAGCGTTAAAAATCAAATATCATTGGGCCAATGATATACACAGAGAAAAAAGCTCAACAGGTCAGCTCACAGCTTTAAAAACTCGAAAATTAGAAGGAACTTCATCGTGCATGTTTTGTTTCAAGGTGCATTTTTTCTTTTAATTCATGCCCATAATGATGACTTGATAAATTTATTTGAGAATCGATACTGAAGGGGTTCCAAAGGAGTTAATTAGTGTTATTCACGGTGGTGTCCAGAGCATTAGCATGACTTTCGAGCTACGGAGAGATATTTTCCAATTTTTTCTTCCTTTCCCATTTTTTTCGCTACTCGTTTTAAAAAACAGTGTTGTTAGCACAAAACATATTTTATTTTAAACAACAGATCAAAGCTCAAAACTGAAGCCAGCTTTTATTATTCAAAGTGTTCCGTTTTTCCAAACTTGTACATTTTTTGTACTTGTTTTTGGATTGCTATGGGTAACTATTATATAAATATGAATTATTTTTAAATTGTTTTCTTTAGTTTTAAAACTGATATTTGGGTATCTTGGGTATCTTTAGCTTTATCTTTATTGTATACCTATGGGATTTATGAGACAAGGAAGGTTTTGCAATTTACAACGATTCTATGTCGAACACCAGGCTGGGGGCCCTCTAAATAGCCCCAATAGGAATTGAGGCGTCCATTTTCTAAGCCATTAATACCTTGAAAGGCCTTCAAAGGAGTCATTGCTTAAGAAAGTGCTTCGCTTTGCAGGATTTTCGATACAATCCAAAGGCGGTCCTGTCAATATTTCCGATGTGATTTTCTAATAAAAATTGAAGCCCAAGAAAGAATATAAAAAAGCAAAATATTTGCAGAAATTATAAAATTTTTAAGACATCTGTCTTTTAAAAAATTCAACGACGTGTATATTGATGGTGTACGATGGTTCTTTTATTTTTTTGAAGCCAGTCATTATTAGCTATTTTTTATTAACGCTATTACTTTAAGCAATGAACTTATTGGCAAAAGGCTTCAATCGACGCCATTATCAAAAGCTATATTTATAGCAATGTCAAAAGAGAGATTTATTTCTACAATTATGCATAATACAAGTAGAACCCTCTTATGATTATAACTTAAGTACATAATTGTGGCCATCATTACACATTGTTGGTACCCTGCTGTGCTACAGTGTAATAGAGTGTTGATTCATGTGTGTATGTATGTGTGTGTGCGTATCTATACATATCTATATATATATATATATATATATATATATATCTATATATATCTATATATATATATATATGTGTGTGCGTATGTGCCACCAAATTGGGAGTCCATGATGTTGTGCGAGCATGCGGGAACAAATGGCAGTTTTGTGGTTGGCAGGAGGGTCGATGCAAATGCATTGCATTTATTATTAATAAATAAGCGATGGCTAATTTTTTGTTCTATAAGAATGCACAATTTGAATAGCAGTAGCATAACAAAATAATCTGAATTAACTTTAAACTGCGCACAAATGTAAATTGTTCAATAAATCAGCATGCGTGCGAGGAAATATTAAAGCACTGAAAATCAAAACAAAAAACAAATGTGGAAGTCAATTGGAACTTCCAACTAAGAGTTTTTTTTTCTAAAAAAAATAGTTTTCAAAATGAGAAAATTTCTGAGCATAGTATTAGCTTGGCTCTCTCCACCGATGCGAAAATAACTGTTGAAATGCCTTTATAGTGAAACGTTTGTGACTTCTCGCATAAAAAAGAAGAAGCTCTACATTTTAGCTAAAAAGCATAACTATTTAAGCTTTGAATTCAAATCATTATGTACTTAAAACTATATAAATAGTTTCTTGATTGTTAAGAGTGGCTTTGAAAAGTGAAGAGAAATAACTGACCTACTCAGATGTGTTTCACTTTTTAAATTTCGTTGTTGTTGTGTTCAGTTCGTAATTGCAAACGGAAACGGAAACGGTTTGTGCCCATAAATTTTCACAGTCCTAACAACAACAGTGCTAGCAACAAAAAAATATGAGGCTAGTCATAAAAAATCACAGCATCGTAAATAAATTATGCATTAAAAGCAATAGCGCCAATGATTTATGCGACTATGGGTATGAAGCCAGAAGGATGGTAAAAAATAAACAACAAAAGCTGCAGTTAATAAACCTCAACAATGCGAGGCCAGCCAGAATCAAAAAAAAAAAAAAAAAAAAAAAAAAGACACACCAGCACATATATGTGCTTACTGGAGAGGCGCACAGTTGACGTTGCATGAAAGTTCAAGAAGCAGTTGCTAGAAAGGAGCTGCTGCCACCGCTCCTTCCTGCCCCGTCGCCACTAGTTGTCGGGGAAAGGACGCGCACAAAGTTCAAGAGCTGCCAGCCACGGACTTGTGCTGAGTAGTGTAAAAGAAAGCGCACTTGTGAATTTCTTATGAGCCAACATATGAGCATTCCACAGGACCTCAGTCGGAGCACGCTAGAGATGGGTTGATGGACTGGACTATGGGATGCTCGGCGGAAATTTGTGAACAAAATAAATAATGAGGTGGCAAAGAATTGCACCAACATACTACCTCAGGGAGGAAGTGCATGTCCATGGATGTGTTTTTAAATAAAAG